GGAGCGGGCCCCGCGCCCGCCGCCAGAGCTCCCGGAGGCAGCGGCCCTGGAGGCCGCTGCAGAGCCGGAGCCCGAGCCTGGGCCTGGGCCTGGGCCTGGGCCCGGGCCCGGGGCCGGGGCCGGGCCCGAGCCGGAGCCCGAGCCCGAGCCCGAGCCGGAGCCGGAGCCGGATGCTTCCGAGAAGCCGGCGGAGGCCACTGCTGGGTCTGGTGGGGTAAATGGTGGCGAAGAGCAGAGCACCGGCAAGGGGGAGGAAGACGAGCCCGAGGAGCGGAGCGGTGACGAGACGCCAGGATCCGAGGCGCCGGGTGACAAGGCCGCGGAGGAACAGGGTGAGGAGCTGGCAGCGGAGCCCGACTCCAACCTGCCGGTTGCGCCCCTGATCCAGCACCCCACCCTGCACTGCGGGGTCTGATCCCTTGTTCTGATTTGTCCGAAAGCACAAGATTCCCATCGCTATTTGATGAGAATCGAATGGGGAGGTGGTTTTCATTCTCTGCCCGCCTTTCTAGGGGGATTGGCCGTTTCTAGTGGCCTCACTTTTTGCAGGCCAAAGACTCCTGCCTAACTTGGTTCTTTGATGGTAGTGGATGGAAGTGCTGATTTTGCATGCGATTGGCTTGCGAGCTACCTGTGGAGCAATCTGCGGTGCTCGTTATCTTTTACTTAGTCGAAAATGTGCTGAAAAATTGGCGATTAAGCTGACAGCAGACCGACTGCTGGGGGCTTAGACCTTTTGCTACCTGACTGTTGCCTTTTTCACCATAACATATTAAGCAATAAACTAAGTCCGTCAAAGTCCGCTGTGTTGTAGGCGTGTTAGTAGAGCTTGAGCCACACTGAGAATCGGGATATCTAAACTTGCTGCTGCTTGAGCACCCCTCTGGTGTGAGGGTATTGGGTTTAATAGTTAACTAGCAGGGAGAAAGTCTTAAATCTGGTACTCCTAGAATAACTTAGTTGCTTGACTAGGGTTTTTACCTTGTGCGTATTCTTGTGATCAAATTTTAATCTTCCCACTGAGTTAGTAGATGGGCATATTTAGATTTTTCTGTACACTTGCACTAGCTTTTTACATTCCAGGTTCCTGATTGCCTGAACTGAAGTGATTGAGGAGCTGGTGGGTCCATTGAATAACCTTGTAGAACAGAATATGTAGAGTCACCCCAGGGAGTTAGTGACCTTTCTCCTTTCTTTTGAAGTGATTGGTGGTTAGAGGTGATCCATAACTGTATCTATTGGAGTAAAGAGGAAAATTAGAGCTGCCTCCAAGTGTTACTGTCAAGTAATTGCCTTAGTTTTGACGTTTTTAATTTTTTAGGCTGCTACTGGATATAGTATAATTGGAACCCATTTTACAGCAATCACATGTAACTTGCAGATTGTTTGTCCTGGAACAAAAATCTCATTACATAACCTTTGACTTATGTGTATCCCAAATAGCTGATATAAAGGGCTGCTTTAAAGAAATCATTAAAAAAAAAATCTTTCTACAATTGGAAAATACAAAAGCCTATGGAAAAACTCCAGGTTTTTTCCTTTTTGTGAAGGGTGTTGCTAAATATGTGACAACACCTTTGTGCCCCAAATTATGTGCAGTAAAGATGCAGTATTATTTATGGGTCTCTTGTGACTTTATAGTTTGTTCTTGCAACTTTCAGGAAAAAACCTGATAAAAATATAGCTGTGTGTCATTCACTTGAGTCCATTTGCTGTATAAGTATGGGTGGTCGTGTATTTTTGTGCAGAAAGGACAAACAAATAAATATTGGGGCTTCTGTATCATGAGGCTGTGAGAAAGTGTTAGAAAAATATGGTAGGAAGTATCTATCTCAAATCCAAATCTGACAGTCAGAGACCTGGGGAATTTATTTTATGTCATATTGATGGGGAAAATCTGCAAATTTGACCTGATTGAAGCAGATAAATTTAGAATGCAAATATGCCCAGTTTTTAATCTACTGCTTGACTGTAATTAGTCTATAATGTCTTTATTTTTTCTTCCAAATAAAATTCCAGCCAAAGACAGGAAGATGATCTTTGAAAATAAAATGTTCTGTGGATGCAGTGGGAATAATCTGGCTATACTAATGAGACAGATACTCAGATCTCCCTTTAGTTTCTATTGGTTCTCAGCTTATTCTACACTCCAATATGAAAACTGCTGATTTTCTTTCCCTCCTTTTTGTAGGAGATGACCAAGATAGTGAAAAGTCAAAACCAGCAGGCTCAGATGGTGAGCGGCGGGGGGTAAAGAGACAGCGGGATGAGAAGGATGAACATGGCCGAGCTTACTATGAATTCCGAGAGGAGGCTTACCACAGCCGGTGAGGGAAACAGTCCCTTTCCTTGAAGGGAGTGTCTGCTCTGATATTGGTATACCTTTTATTGATTGCAGAGTCTGGAAGGAGGGGTGGATTAAAACGGAGTAAGATTTTATAGGCCTAAATTTTTAGATTGAATCTACCATGAAAGCTCCTGTTGTCCTTTCTCATTTGTTGAAAAAAGCTGTCTGCTGGGATTTGATATTCACAGATAAGTTTAAAGTGGACATAATGTCATGCAGAAACACCTCTGACGGCTTTGGTTACATTGTATGTGCTTTTCTCTCCTGTATATAGCTCCAAGTCCCCACCACCCCCTGAAGAAGAGACAAAAGATGAGGAGGAGGATCAAACTCTTGTGAACCTGGACACATGTATGTATGAAGCAAACAGGTTTATTGGTTTATTTGTTTGTTTGTTTATTAACTAATCACCTAGAAGTGATTCTGGAAATTAAAACTTTATGATCTTCAAACTCTAAGAGATTTTGTGTCTGTTTTTGACAACTGGGTATACTTGTGCTGTACTAGTGGTTTTCAAGTATTGGGCATATGAGTCAACTGATTGCTCTATCCTTAACAGATACCTCGGATTTGCATTTTCAAGTGAGCAAAGATCGCTATGGAGGGCAGCCACTTTTTTCAGAGAAATTTCCCACCCTTTGGTCTGGAGCAAGGAGTACTTACGGAGTGACAAAGGGAAAAGTCTGCTTTGAGGCCAAGGTAGTAGCTCATTAAGATTATTCATTCATTAAACTAATATTTATATACTGGATTCCTGTCCATTAGTACTTCAGTTAATATAGAAAAATGAACCATGGTTTAACACTATACTTAGTTCCAGTAATCCAGAAATTGACCCCCTCCCATACTTTAAATTTTAAGTTCTAGGACAGTTGTCATTCTGATGTTGAGTTAGTATAGTTGTCATTTTTAGTTTATTTAAACATCTTTCTGTTCTTGCTCATACTGCTCCTAAGTTGGCCAGAGTACCTAAGAATTCCTTTTGTGACTTGCCAGGTAACCCAGAATCTGCCAATGAAAGAAGGTTGCACAGAGGTCTCTCTCCTTCGAGTTGGGTGGTCTGTTGATTTTTCCCGTCCACAGCTTGGTAAAGTTAACTTTAATATCCTCCTTAGGATTTATTATCATATTGTTTTCTCTGCAGGAAGTTTGGATATAGATGACTAATTTGTTGATTATTCTAGGTGAGGATGAATTCTCTTACGGTTTTGATGGACGAGGGCTCAAGGCAGAGAATGGGCAGTTTGAAGAATTTGGCCAGACTTTTGGGGAGAATGATGTCATTGGCTGCTTTGCAGTAAGTGCTCCTGAAAGTTGCGGATTCATAGCAAGGACTTGGTAGAGGGCTTTTTGGGATTCAGTTATGATTTCCATCAACTCCCGGCTTTTATATATTTAATACATCACTTGGTTAATTGTGTTGTGCATGAGTCTGAGAAAAAAAAAATGTACATTTTAAGATTTAATCAACCTCAAACCCTGTCATCCCTTATGTGCTCTTGTCTTTTGTCATTGTAGAATTTTGAGACTGAAGAAGTAGAACTTTCTTTCTCCAAGAATGGAGAAGACCTAGGTGTGGCATTCCGGATCAACAAGGAATCCTTGGTAGACCGGGCCCTTCTACCCCATGTCCTCTGCAAAAATTGTGTTGTAGAATTAAACTTTGGTCAGAAAGAGGAGCCCTTCTTCCCACCACCAGAAGAGTTTGTGTTCATCCATGCTGTGCCTGTGGAAGAG